CAGCTAGACTGTCAATGTGTCAGTATACGTCACAAGACTGAGATGACAGTGTGGCTACGCTTATAAAAGATGGCGCTTCATGTACAGTCGCGGAATGAAAAGGTTCGTCACCTTAGTGTCGGTTTTCGCTTGCACTAGGTACTGTAAGAGTCAAACCTGCCAACATAACCGTGCAAGAAACAGTGCTGCTAACATTTAAATAAATATGACGTTTACTAACGAATAAGGTTTTGCTTGTTTATTTTTCTATCCCATCAGTGCAATGCAATGATGACATTGACCAGTTGACAATTGTTTTTTTTATTTAAAAGAAATAATAATGGCAGGTTGAACCAACAAGAAGGTTTTAGTTTATCAATCATAATAATCTTCTTGACAAGATAAATCGTCAAACAACTTTGATCTGAATAATTTTGAACTTTACTGACGAACAGTTAAAGATTATTTTCTCTAACTCGAGATTATTCTGTAACATAGTTTCAAAAGGTAATATGAGCTCGCGATTCGTTGAAGGAATCAATTTGAAAACTGACGAACCTTTTCATTCCGTGACTGTACATCACTGTATTATAATCTTCTATGATTATAATCCGGTAATGTCACATTTCATGGTTGTCCAACGTGACAAAAATCGGAACCAGCGATCCGGTATTGACGGTGGCGCCCCCCTGTCAATGCTACCGGTGGGACGGTTCAGTGTAGTTCTTTAATGTACCGAAGTTTTTATAAATCATCACTAAAAAGTACATAGTTATTCAGCAAAATTTTTTTCCGATTGATATCTATCAGCATTTTCAAATAAATTAATCCAAATTGATTTGTGTAAACATCGAGAATTGTTTTTTTCAGGCTGGGCCATGTGAGTGTGATGGTGTCGTTAGGCAACACGCTGGCTAACTCAATATGGGAGGCGGACCTACGAGGACACATCAAACCACAGGTCACGTCGTCTAGGGAAGAGAAGGAACGGTAAGTTGGCCTACGAAGTCTTAGTTTATTTACTGGGGTGGTTTTAAATTATTGAAGTGTTTTAATATCCCCTTATATGATGTTGAAAAAAGAAAACTAGAAATGTGAACCGCGAACTTTTTTGGACATCCATCATAGTAGTGACTTCTGGTCACTACTATGATGGATGTCCAAAAAAGTCTAGGTATTGAAGGGTGACTCCCACTGTGTGACTTTAGTATGCGACAAGCGACCAGCTCTCTGACATCGTAAGATGACTGCTTTCAGGATACGCGTAGTAGTTGTTTCTTTCGGTAACTAGTTCTATAATCTTTCATATAGTTTCTGGCAGGCCTCTCGAGGCCATAATAATTTAAAACAGATGACGGGTGCCATCTTTGCATGATGGTTTAGTCTTAATTAAAAACCAGGAAGAAGCATAGACTTTAACCACAAAAGTAGCAAGAGTTTCAAAATTTCTATTGGATCTTAAGTTCCTACAATACAAACGTAGTATTCGGTACGCTCGTGTGATTTAACGGGCATGTTACAGTTCACCAGGAGAGATTATTGCGAGATTTTGTGAGAATAATGCCCGTTTTCACCATCAACCCCTAATTTTTAAGTGACCCCTATGTAAACAAAATTCCTGTTATTTGTTACCATAGGGGTCACTTAAAAATTAGGGATTGATAGTGAAAACGGGCATAAGCCTAATTACCGCCGAATCAATTTTATACAAGTTCTGCTGATCAGTGCTCAGGTCATTGGCTATTTCCGATCACATTTGTCCTTCAATATGATCAAATTTATTGATAGGCAGTTTCTCACATGTTTCCAGAGCTTTTGAGCAGAAGCAGAAGCAGAGCAAAGGGCCAGAAAAAGTCTCTTCTCGCGCTCCCTCACTGCCCTTATTAAAATTATAAACCTAAAGCCTGACTTTTTTGTGTATTTTACATTGAAAATATAGCATACCAGTAAACGATTTGTGATAAAAAAATAGTATTTTTATTTAAATATCGCACAAATATGTGGCGCCTAAGTGAGGTCTAAAACCAACTTTTTTTTATAAATTCAGTGTCGATGCGGAGGCAGTTACTCTAAACCGAATTGATTAATATTTTGCATGGCTTAATTTAAGCCCTAAAGGCACAAAATTTTGACTATTACATTACAGTTATATGAAAAAAAATTTTTCGCTCCACCCTAGTGTGTATCCTCATAAAATGTAGGTAGTGGGCCGCCTTATATTGATAAAATAATAATAATACGTTTATTATCAGACCATTATGATCCATACATTGTGTTAGTAACAATCTTATACTTAAAAACTAGGTTAGTAGTAACATAAATCAGTCAAAAAACCGGTTTTTGGATACATGCAAGTGAATATTAATCCAGTGCTTAAAGATGGGACACGATGGCCTATCTTTGATAACCGACAGGATGCTGTTGGCGCTTTCCCGTATCCTCGCAAGCATCGACGCTGTTCGTTTACGGATGATAGCGTAGAAGTCATCCACACGCGCTTCCGCGAACATAGTCGAAGCACTGCAGAACCTTGGTAGCCCCATCAGCATCCTGAAGGCATTGTTGTACTGAACCCTGAGAGCGTTATAGGTCTTTTGCGTGAAGTCACACCACAGACTGCAGGTGTAAAATGTTTGACAGAATGCCTTAAAGAGTAAAGTAGTAAAGAGTATAAAAAAGAATGCGTATGTGTTAGGAGGCTTTGCTAATGAAAAAGGCGTTACGTTAACACACTTTTCAAATATCACACTACGCTAACGAGTTTCATATTAGCACTTCTCAAATACCATTTACTCTTTTCAGATGGATCCGGCTCAAATACGAGAGGCGGGCGTTTCTCTCAGCTGGCGACATTGCGACCGGCGTTGACGCACTACGGGCGGCAAGCTCGCGGGGCCAAGTGGCGACCCTTGCAAGAGTACTGGCTGTGCCTCCTCCTCGAGCGCCGTCGGCTACGGATCGAGCGTTGGCGCTTAGAGCCGCCGCGGCCGCAGGACACCTCGCTGCCGCGCAGTTATTGATATGGGTTAGTTTTAACGCGATCATCTTACGCGAAGACAGTTTTTGGCTTTTTGTTGGTAACTAGCAATAGGATAGTAGATAGCTCGCGAGGCCAAGTGGCGACCCTTGCAAGAGTACAGGCGGTACCGCTTCCTCGAGCGCCGTCTGCTACCGATCGAGCGTTAGCGTTGAGAGCCGCTGCCGCCGCTGGTCCTCTTGCTGTACTGCATCTGTTGATATGGGTTAGTTTTAACGCGATCATCTTACGCGAGGATAGTTTTTGGCTTTTTGTTGGCAACTAGCAATAGGATAGTAGATAGCTCGCGAGGCCAAGTGGCGACCCTTGCGCGAGTATTAGCGGTGCCGCCTCCTCGAGCGCCCTCGGCTACGGATCGAGCATTAGCGCTTAGAGCCGCCGCGGCCGCAGGACACCTCGTTGTCGCGCAGCTGCTGATATGGGTTAGTTTTAACGCGATCATCTTACGCGAGGATTGTTTTTGGCTTTTTTTGGCAACTAGCAATAGGATAGCTCGCGAGGCCAAGTGGCGACCCTTGCGCGAGTATTAGCGGTACCGCCTCCTCGAGCGCCGTCGGCTACGGATCGAGCATTAGCGTTGAGAGCCGCCGCGGCCGCAGGACACCTCGCTGCCGCGCAGTTATTGATATGGGTTAGTTTTAACGCGATCATCTTACGTGAAGACAAGTTTTTGGATTTTTTGGCAACTAGCAATAGGATAGCTCGCAAGGCCAAGTTGCGACCCTTGCGCGAGTACTGGCTGTGCCTCCTCCTCGAGCGCCGTCGGCTACGGACCGAGCGTTGGCGTTGAGAGCCGCCGCGGCCGCAGGACACCTCGCTGCCGCGCAGTTATTGATATGGGTTAGTTTTAACGCGATCATCTTACGCGAAGATANGCAGCACTGTTTCTTGCACTGTTATGTTGGCAGGTTTGACTCTTACAGTACCTAGTGCAAGCGAAAACCGACACTAAGGTGACGAACCTTTTCATTCCGCGACTGTACTATATCTTTCCTGCTACTCCTGTGTTTATTAATCTTACTTTTTGCTTCTTGTGTGTCAATGTCGGCCGTTTGGTGTAGTGGTTCGAAACGGACTACTATTCCAGAGGTAGCGGGTTCGATTCCCGCACAGCACAAACATTTGTGTGCATGAACATATTTGTTTGTATTGGACTGGGTGTTTTCTATGTATAATAAGTATGTATTTACAAAAAAAAAACTATTTAAGTATGTTTATATCCGTTGTCTAGTACCCATAGTACAAGCTTTGCTTAGTTTGGGACTAGAAGCGCAGTGTAAAATTTCTAAGGATATTTATTTATTTTATTTATTTAATGTGTTTAAACCAAAACAGGAAAACGCAGCGTGGGACGTCCACCCACAAGGTGGACCGATGACCTGATAAAGGTAGCGGGAAGGCGCTGGATGCAGGCCGCTACCAACCGGGCGATGTGGAAGTCATTGGGGGAGGCCTATGTTCAGCAGTGGACGTCCTGTGGCTGAAATGATGATGATGATGATTTAATGTGTTTTGCAAATAAACCATTTATCTATCATAAGGATCGTCACAACTATAATACTCGCTTCGCCGAAGCACTAGTATCGACTGCAGGTAGACTACGAAAGTCTGACTCTTTGACGCACGTATTGGGGCCTAAAGTATACAACCGACTGCCTAAAATAGTGAAAGAAGCGGTATCACTCCATTCTTTCAAATTTCAACTAAAAAAGTGGTTGATCGAGCAGGCGTTCTATAAAATTGACGAACTGTTTGGAATTTAATTATTATTGACACTGTTACCCACTATTTATTTTGACATTTAATTGACATTAATTCTATTTGTATTATTAATTTATTTGGACATGATGTGTATTTCTTTCTTATTAATACTGCAATTGTTTATTATTAATAAGAAAATATATTGAAAATTTGACATGTAATGAACATTATGAATAAATTTCTTATTCTTATTCTTATTCTATCTATCTATCTATCTTTACAGCACAACGGCAACCCGAACTACCCGGACGCGGACGGTCACACGTGCGTGTTTTACGCGCGCGCCGCCGCCAACCATCTCGCAGGCATCCCGCCGCAGTACCCGCGCGCGCTACAGCTCGCCTGCCCGCTGCACCCCGGGCCCCCCGCCGGGGCCCCCGCCGGGCCCCCCGCTGGGTAAGTACACACCTCGCCGGGCCCCCCGCCGGGTACGTATAGATGACCCACGCTGAACTGTCCCACCAAACTCAATGACAGGGGGGCGCTACCATCGTTCAACTATATCAGGGATGGCGAACCTTTAAGTTTTTACGAGCCACTATTTAAAAAAAAAATTGAAGTAGTCATTTATTTATTTATTTATTTATTTATTCTAGAAGGCTGCTTGAAGGCTTACAGAAAATCCAACGCGCCAACAAGTTATAGGTACAATCGTGCAAATAATATCAATTAAAAATGTCAATATTGTGTACAATTGTCAAGTAAAACGATAACAAATCAGTCAAATAAAATCAAAAATTAAATACATAAATAATTGTCTTAGAATGTCATATTACCTACATAATAAGACATAGTCATAGACACGTGCCATTAAATTAACACCTAATGCTATCAAGTGGCACCACTGGTGAGTGACACGACCTTACTCTACAGTGGCACTAACTGATGACGGCAAATACGATAGCTCATAATCAAAACACATTATTTACTATTGAATTACTGAATTTGTGATTGGTGGCGTGCCCAAAATATTATGTCGCGTGCCATCATTGGCACGCGTGCCATTGGTTCGCCAACCCTGAACTATATGGTTTCCAACATGGCAAAAATCTGAACCAGCGATCCGGTATTGACGGTGGCGCCCCACTGTCAATGTCATCGACAGGACAGTCCAGTATTTTGGAACTATACACACCTCGCCGCAGTACCCGCGCGCGTTACAGATCGCCTGCCCGCTGCACGCCGGGCCCCCCGCCGGGCCCCCCGCTGGGCCCCCCGCCGGGGCCCCCGCTGGGTACGTGACACCACACCCTGGCCCCCCACCTGACGATAAACCTCTACAGTTTTGAAGGCCTCTGTCTAGCAGAAAGCTTTCTTTGGTTGAAACAAATGAGACCCACCCACGACTGGTTTATTTAGAGTAGGTGCACACCGTTGATTTTTCGTCGGCCGATAGTTCAGGGCAGTTGATCAGTATGGGTATGTATGGGAGTGCGCACACTACGCCGATTCGATTTGGCCGATTCTTCATACAAATTAAAATCGGGCACAACTATCGGCCAACTAAAAATCAACGGTGTGCGCCTACTCTTATGCATAACAACTCAAATACCTATTACAAACATTGCCACGCCCCAGTATGATGGACCTCCATTTATTAAAATAATATTGAATATTTTGCTTTGATTTTAAATACTTCAAACAAGTCAAAATACAAAACTTATTTAAAAAAAAAAATGAAAAAAAAAAAGAACTACCTTAACTCGCAATTATATTTTGATCAAATGTTATACTGATGATGGACAAAGTTGCCCAGATTTACTGCACTCTAAAACCTATTACAAATTGACCTTAGAAAAAAACCACTCAACCTACCAATCGATCAACATGGAAAGCATTGGGGGAGGCCTATGTTCAGCAGTGGACGTCCTATGGCTGAGATGATGGTGATGAAAAAAACCACTCTTGACACACCTGTATGCAACTAACACATCTATTATTTCCTTTACAGTTCAACCTCCAGCAAGAGTTCGCTCAAGACGCCAGAACCAGAATGCAACTGCATCATCTTCGAGCTCCTAAGCGCACAGAACGCGGCCAATGCTTTAGTGGAACTGCTCATAGCTCTCCAGAACAACCAATTCATGAACGGGTATGACGGACACAACGGGGGAATATCGAACTCCTTCAGCCACGGCACGCTAGGCCGACCCAACCTATCGCTGACCAATGGAAAATGCGGGAGCATCGTGTAATATTAGATTTTAAACTTCCCTTTTAATTTACACTAAAATAGAAAGTCACGGGTGTTAACGCGAAGTTTATGAATGAGTTACATACAGGGTGTCCCAGAATGGGTGAATCAAACTGATACCGGAGGTAGCTCTACTAATGTAGTATCCCTAGAAAATATGAAAAAAAAATAAAGCGCATAAGGACACAATTTTTTTTTAAATAGTGAAAATAAATCAGCTTTGCCTAAGTATCTGGCTATAATTGCTCCGTTTGGAGTTTATTTGTACTTTTTAATACTAATATTAATTGTACATGATCGCTTCGTTTATTTGTAAACAAACTTGAAAATAATGACTAGATTTCGAGTTTAGAGCATTTTATTTAAAAAAAAATCCGAATTTTTTTTTCATATTTTTTAGGGATAGTACATTAGTAGAGCTACCTCCCCTAGCAGTTTGATTCACCCATTCTGGGACACCCTGTCTGTATACATACATGTACTCACGGCTTGACGGCCAGTTTGCTTGTGACAACGTCAAGCCGTAAGTACATAATGTAACTCATTGATATTTGTCGCGTTAAGACCCGTGTCTTTCTATTTCATCGCATAATAGATAGTTGGATTCTCTTCAGGACTGGCATGACTTTTTTGCTGTGACAGCTGACAGAGTGGAAACGTGATTGTTGAATGAGCGAACCAGTTTGTCTCTTTCGCACGCTAGCGTATATGAGGTGACGTCACAATTCAATAAACACATGTTTGCTGACAGTTGACAGTTATTTTTGTGCAAAATAAAAACACTCTTGAAGAATATATTTTTTTGTTACGGGCATTATTTTGTCAAACACAAGTTTGGCGCTTATCTTGTAGTAAAACTTCTTCAATTTGTGTGTTCATGCCAGTTCTTACGAAAATATTATAATACCCGATCTGAAAGTTATACGTAACCGACTGTTTATAAGAATGTGACTGAAACTTAGAGAGATTTCGCGTTTATAGTTACCAAATTAAAAATTATCACAGTTTAGGTTACACGTAGGTTACGGTCTTTTAATCTTGGAAGAAATCTAATTGTGTACCGCAATTAATTCGATTATTGCACTGATTGTTCTTATCCGTGTTTTTGACAGCGTATTGACGTTTCTAATCGTTTTCAAATAAATTATTTATCTGCATAGATTGATAAGGTTTTTAATGTATGAACGGGTTATTGAGAGGTTTTCTACTTACACTAAGTAAGGTTCTATTAAATTTATGGTCAGGCTCGTTACACGTGATTGGTTGGCGAATCTCAAAATACAGTTGCCATTACGAATTGTAGTGTTTACAACCAATACAAAATATACTATAAAACAAATATGTATACTAAAACACGCAATATAATTTTAATAAAATTATGCATAATTTTTGTGACACAAAAAGTTATATTTTATGATCAATGAAAACCATTTTCTAAGGAATTTTGCGTTTATTTGATTTTTACAAAAATAAGATTCTAAATGACGTTGTCGTAATTATTAGATTAGGCTTTTCTGACTAAAATTTACATAATAAAATAAACTGTTTAGTAAAATGTATTATCACAATTCCCTGTCCAGTGTACTCGGTCCCTGAAATGTAATTCCCCGGAGATATTTAGCGAAATTATGTATATGTCAATTTAAAGTTAATTAAATTCTTTAGAGAATGTAGTATTTATACATAGACCCTTGTTTACACATATCCGGTGTAATAGTTCAAATTCGTTGTATTTGTTTGTAGTCCAATAGTGTAGGGATGGTTACATTTTTAGGATAGTGTCCCAAAACAAAATTCGCAGTTTTTTTTCAACGTTTGTTGACAACTAGGCGTCCGCCCTAGCATAAAAATAGTAATGCCAAAATATGTCATAGACATAACATTTACCATACGTGAATGAGTTATTCGTCACTTAGCTAAGTATAATCACGATAGCATCACATTTTAGTATAAATTCGTTACTACATATCGTTTATAATGTACGCATTGCAGACAGATAGACATAAAAATTGTCTGTACTGGTTTTTAATGAGTGCATTGTAATCTTTTTAAACACAATATTGATTCACACATACGTAGATAAATGACGTAAACACTTTTATTATAAATATATCAATGGGCGCGACTAGTTCTGGTCGGGTGTACCCGGTTACCCAGTTGATACCCGGTTACCCGGTTGACTACTTACCGTTTAGTTCGGAATGCATCACCTTATTATAGTTAGTAATATTGATAGATATAAATTATTACGTTAGGTGCAAGATCTCAGCGTTTATGCTCAGAATGCCAACTTCTCAAAATGCCAACCGCTCGCAAAATGACAACTTCTCAGAATGCCAACTTCTCGAAATGCCAACTTCGCGAAATGCCAACTTCTCAAAATGCCAACTTCTCAAAATGCCAACTTCTCGAAATGACAACTTCTCGAAATGACAACTTCTCATAATGACAACTTACAATTATAATGAATGCAGGAGCAGTGAATGCTACCACAAATAATAAATATAATTAAAAAGTCTATATATTTACAATATCTCAATATCTTTATTTGTTACTATAAAATCAATCAATACACTAGGGTCGTATCGCATCAATCTCTCATCTCAAATGTCGATTGAATGACATACTTAGTCGGGTCATAAGTTTTGTCACATGTTTATAGTGAAATAATTGATACTATATTTGTTTTTAAGGTAATCATTTATATACCAATAGAAAGGTACTAAAACAAAGTGCGTAACCCCCACGCTTTGGCCGTAGCCTCACTTACATGGTCACCCTCAACAAGGCATAATTGTTTTGGTGTTACAGACCGTACCTGGTTTTAGTTTATCCGATTTTGACAATGATTGTAATTGTTACAATAAGTGTATGTCATTCAATCGACATTTGAGATGAGAGATTGATGCGATACGACCCTAGTGTATTGATTGATTGTATAGTAACAAATAAAGATATTGAGATATTGTAAATATATGGACTTTTTAATTATTTTAATTATTTGTGGTAGCATTCACTGCTCCTGCATTCATTATAATTGTAAGTTGTCATTATGAGAAGTTGTCATTTCGAGAAGTTGGCATTTTGAGAAGTTGGCATTATGAGAAGTTGGCATTTCGCGAAGTTGGCATTTCGAGAAGTTGGCATTCTGAGAAGTTGTCATTTTGCGAGCGGTTGGCATTTTGAGAAGTTGGCATTCTGAGCATAAACAGGGTAAATTAGGATAATTATTTTAGTGGTAATTATTGTCGCTTTACCCTTACGCCCTTGGGTAACTACTATTAATTGACTTTAAAAGTTCTTCTCTAATAAGTGAGATTTATATTTTTGTCTCGATATTTCTATAGTAGGAAAGAATTAGCCCTAAATATATTATTGAATTTATATTTATACTACTATTCTGGTTATGATGCTATTATTTATTTAGTACCACCGTTGCGTAGTTAGTGGCTCGAGTTAAATTCGTTTGCTATTAGAATTAATGTTGACATTCCAATGATAGTGTGTGAATTTTTCACCCAAGGGCCAAAATATAGTTGATGTGATATTCCTGAGGTTTTTCCCCTAAATAAGCCAAACGTACTGAACCCTTCTGTGCCTACTTTAGGTAGTTACGCTTTTCCTGAATGGTAGACCAGGGGTTGTGAACTCTACTTCACGTCCTGGTCTACATTCAAGTACTTATCCAATGTAAAGTGTTACTTCATACGCATCTATTAGTGGTTTTCGCAAGATTAGTGTTAAATTAAGTATACAATCTTTCAATAGAAATAGAAGAATGTAAAATTGGTGTTCATGAAACATTAAAAGTGGTCCATTTAAAGCTGACCTTTTTAAACAATTGTGGTCTTTATTAATCAGAAAAATATTTGTACCTTAACTGGAAAATTGGAATCTCATGTGATTTAATGGAATGGTTTTCGAACTGTAAAGTTTTTTTGTATGGCTCGTTGTATGATGTTTTTGGGAAGGTACAATATTTTTAATACGATCTTAGATGGACCACTCTGTATTAGAAAAGCAAAATTTTGACAAGATTTTGAGTTCAAATTGACTTGTTTTTTATGTTCCCCAACATTTCTATTGAGAGAACATATTTCGTGCATTTAGTTAGAGTTTACCCATTTCAATCTGTAGCGTAGTAAATTGTTAATGTTTTAATTATCATACCATTTTCGTCAGTTGTAATGGATGTTGATTTCAATATGTTGATAAAAAGTATTGGAAAATCATTAAGATGTTTGTTTTAATACTATTTGGATGATTAAAGTTCGTATCAGTCATCTATTTCCTTCAGTACTTTTAGAAATATGTTATAGAAATCAACACCACATAATTATTATAGATTTTGCTACTCGCTCATTGAGTTTTCATTCATTCATTAATACTTTTAACGAAATTTTATCAAAATTGAAAATATCAATATTTTGTCTGTATAAATATGAAATTTATTTGCGTTCAGTGTGATTTTCAGTCTTATTGCTTTCAAAAACTTTCGTTGTTTTAGTACTTGCGTGAATAAGTTGTAAATTATAGCAATAAATCATATTACCAATGTCAGTATTCGTGAAATTGTATAAACACATTGACGAGGCGTCCGCACTCTGTATAAATAATTGAATAATTTTTTGAATAATTTGAACTGTTGAAATTTTATTGCTAATTTTAAATTCGTTACCGATGATTTGGTTCATTATTTTATATTTAGATTACTTTTAATGAAATGTTTTTGTGTATATTATTTTTGTACAGGCCAAAGAGCTTAATGTAAATATTGAAATAATGCAGCTGTGTGCGTAGCTGTGCCCTAAGTAGACTTTCGTTATTGTAATTTTTAAGAGATTTGTTGATGTTCTCTATCTTGTGAAAATAAAGTGTAATACGAACACGAATAAAGTTTTTTATTGATGTCTTCGAGGAATAAAAGAACCCTTGAATTTTGAATATTTCTTGTATCTTTGTAAGAAACCTCTCCGTGAATCTTAGTTTGACCCCTGACAACTTTAGGCTTTAAATTATTTACCCCATACTTTAAATGACTTCTACATTACAGACAAGTTTTTAAGCATTTAAAGGAAAATAAATCGTAAAGTACTTTCCTATATTTCCCAAATAAAAAAATAACAAAAACATTAATCATGAAGTTGACGTCAT